ATGTTTTTGGTTGGTATTATGTTTATATGGTTGTTTTTGTTGGTTGGTGGTTGTTATTATGGTTATTAATAATACGATCTATAGTTGAAATCTGAGCCGAAATAAAAAGAAAAAGCAAGTGATTAGGTTTATGAGCAATCTAATTACTTATTCGTTTAAAATGCTATATAAAATGAAGTTTATTATTAATTTGCTGGACAGAGCGGTGAACATTATTATTGCATAAGACAAAGATAACGATCCTGATCAGTTTAGAAATCTGTGTACGCTGTAAGGTTTTTACTTCTTAAACTTAAAATACACGTTTCGAATAGAAAGAAATCCTCTTCCTGGTACAGTACTGTATGTATAGCAAACCAGCACGTCTTTTTTCTCCAATCAGAGGGGTGTCAGATGGTGTCAGCCAATCACCATAATCTCTGGTATGGGGAGACCCGAGAATTCTGTCCCATAGTTTAGACAGATGATAGATACTTTTATTGATCCCGTGAGGGAAATAAAGTAAATCATTTTCATTTTAGGAAATTATTAAACGCTTGTTTAAAAGCAAAGGAGATTGTCTGTTATAGTGGACATAAAAACAAGAGTTTGCTGGCATTATATCTTAGAAGACACAGACCGGCGCCAAACCGGTAAAATGCCTGATGAACTAGGGATTGGACAGTTTCCAAAATCTTGTACAATCGATGGAAATGTTCAAATAAATATGCAAAAGAAATAAACAAAATAATAATTTATTTCTTTATCATATTGGCTAGCTAATGTCCTCTCTTTGCTAGTTAGTGGCTGTGTTTCTGCCAGTAAAAAGTACGAAAACAGTAAAAGAAAGTACATCTTTTCCCGGGATAACTCCCTCAAAAAGAAAGCTAAGTAACAGTTTCAATATGCCCCAAAAACAGTATGTCTTTCATAAGTGTTAACTTTCAGAACCAATGTGAAATTGAAATAAAACAGAGGAAACCCAGAAATTACTGGAAGCACCCCTCATCCCAGTGTATTTCTTGTCTAATGGTGCAGTATTCAAAAAAGTATAAAACATTACAGAAAGATTCACAAACCAACACAAGGTTGTAAAAGGTCAGAGGGCTTGTCTAGAGTGTAAAACACTTGGTTGCAGCTCTGTGAGTCTTGTGGTTTGAAAGCTATTGAGTCATGAACAGTGACCCCCTATCCCCGTGTATTGCCTGTCTAATGGTGCTATCTTCCAGAAATAATAAAACATTATGGAAGGAATTCACATTCGAAATCATGACGGTGAAAGATAAGAGGGCTTGCTTAGTGTGTAAAACACTTGGTTGCAACATTTTGAATGTTGTGCTTGAAAAGCTATTGACTCATGAATAGCACCCGCCTATCCCCATGTACCGCCTCTCTAATGGTGCCATATTGAAAAAATCATTAAAAAATAAGGAAATGTTTCACAACCTAAAGCAAGGGTGTGTATGGTGAGGGGGGCTGTCTGGTGTGTAAAACATTTGGTTGCAGCATTGTGAATGTTAAGCTTAAAAAGCTATTGAGTCATGAATCCAAGTGGTGCCATATCGAAAAAACATTAAAAAAAACTAAAAGAGGTTTCAAAAGCAAGGCTTTGAAAGATCAGAGGACCTGCTTAGTGTGAAAACACATACTTGCAGCATTGTGGGTGCTGTGGTTTAAATGCTATTGGCTTGTGAACAGCATACCCCTATCCCAGTGTATAGTGCCACCTTAAATAAAAGCACGAGAAAAAGAGATTCACAATGCAAAGCTGTGTCAGTCTTCTGAGTAAACAATTGGTTTGAACATCATGGGTGCTGTTTTTAATAAGCTGTTGAGTAAAGAATAGGAATTTTCCTGCTGTCAGCAGTATTGTGTATATAGGTGACCCTTACCTGAATGAAAACAGGATATGAAGGGGTTTCAGAAATCAAACAAAGCTTTTTTTCCCATGCTTACAGTCTGGGTAATTAGAGACTGCAATTTTCTGCTTCTGATGGTGATATACGGGTTTTTCTCACGAAGCTGTATTGAGCAGTATTTCTCACGTTGTGAACACTTTGGTCCCCCAAGGTTCCAGTTAGTGCGTAATTACGCATCCATGGAAATGGGAGGTTTATAAAAAGAGAATTAGCTCACTGATAGTTTTATGTAGAGGCTGTGAAAATTTTCACAAGTAGAGGTCTTCAAAATGCGTTTGGTTTAAAGGCTTTCTGTTTCCCTTGCGAAGATGTGGACATGAGAATATTCGTGCATGGTAAAAAAAATGGTGTAAAACAACATAGTGAAGGCTGTGAAAACATTCACACTGTACTTTGTACACACAGCAAGTGTTTTTGTAACTCTAGGAGGTTTCATGAAAATGCTACAGGCGTGCCAAAATCATTTTCGAACTTCAAGCAAACTTTAACTGGTCAGACTTCCTTATTTGAACTCAACTGTGCTTCAGTAAATAATGTACAGTTTATCACCTTCTGCAATGCTTCTAGTTTAGCAGGAGTTGTGCAATAGGCACATTGTTTAATGGGGGTGACATTACCCACGTCTACTGTATACTGTACGACACAGGTTTGAGTCTGAGTGTCTGTTAATAAAACAGAGCGCCTTCCAATACATATACCCCCATCTACTGCGTGATTTCTTTATCCACTTCAGCTAAATGAGGGAAATTAAATCAGTCAGATTCTCGGAGTGCCAATTGTAAAATAACCCTTCTTCCCTCCTTTGTTTAACTTAAAGAATTTAGCGAAGTTATCCTTAATCACAATATCATCACTTAATTTATCCAGATACACAAATTCACACCAGAGCCAACAACAACAAGCTATAATATTGGACAATTGTTATGCATTCAGCTATATGAGAACCAAACAGAAAATAATGCTCCAATCGTGCTTTGAACTGCCTGGGTGCAGCTCACTACATTACAGTGCTCATGACCACAAGAACAATGGAAGTTTTTTTTATAAAAAGAAACAAATGTCAAAATGTTTCTAAAACGTCCACTTGTGATACTTTAGCTGCTTAGTTACACAATTCCATATTAATATAGCTATCAAGTGATGTTAAATCACTACATTTATCTTTTTACAATAACAGCAAGTGGTGTTCTTACTACTGTACGCATTCATGGAAAAGGATAAAACGTTATAACTTTTTATGAAGTACAGAATATAAGCTTAATAATGTTAGAACATGCACGTTAAAGCCAGAATCCATGTAAATTACCAAGTTAAAGACTTTGATACATAAAATATTTCTGCATAATTAAAATATTTATGATGAAGGTGGAAGGTTTTATACTTTTGCCCAACTGAGCAATCTTGCTTTTATAAAATATACCAACTTTTTAATGTTTAATGATTAACATACTGCAATATACAGTTTAAAATTAAAAGTCTAACGAGTATACAACTTAAATTCCTAATTGGATAATGATCATCCCTCAGCAGTGATAGCGATCGTCATTCAAAACCAGGTGTTTTCTGGTGACAGCTGAAATGCTGTACATGAGAGGTTAAGCTTTATTAGCTCCACCTGGCCGTGATTCCGGATACGATTATCCTAACTGGTATGATGCGGTATGACGCGTTATGATATGACACGCCCACCACGTTTTACCACAGCGTACCCCGTTCGTTTTGAATGGCTGCATCTGTATGCTCCACCATTCTCATTCCAGAGATGTTTATTGGGTTTACTTTTTCAATGCCTTTGTGGATGTTGAATACTTGAAGTCTTCTCTTTTGGACTAAAACGTTCTATGAGATATTTCTCTGAGAATTCTTGGGTATGTGTGACCTTTAAATAATTCTGTGACTTTCTCAAATCATGAGTTAGTATTGCATGTTTTGTTAATGTGTAAAACCTGCTACGATATCCAGTAGCAAACAAGGTGAGTTTCAAAAGCTTCTATAATCTTTGGCTTTGTGAGACTAAGAGAATTGGGGTTTACATCATTTATTTCCAACATTTACAGGAAGCATATAAATTGTAACACTGAATGTAAATATAATTTTTTAATCCTTGTGCTATTGACACATTCAATACACGTTTATTCATGTTAAATTCAAATCAAAATACTTTATTGTTGATCACATAAATTTTTAATATTCTTATGTGAATTTTAATTTCTAAATCTGCCTTGAGTTAATTTGTCAAGGTTATGAATAAATGCCTGGGGGAAAAGTACAAAAATTCAATATGCAGACCTAGTTCAAAGCAATTTACTGGTTGAGCTAAAACAGCAGTGGACTTACATTTCTTTAGAGTAACCAAGGAAATGCACAAAACCAAGTGCTACAATTGTGGTCTGCAGAGTAATACTGTGCACAAAGTGCTGGGAGACCAAAAATAAGTCATTCATAGCTCCATCCGTTGTCTGTCTCACAAGCAATTTGACTGAATCCAATTGTACAGTATGTTTCATTTGCTCTCATTACAAATACATTGATGTTAAACTTCTAAATATTATTATATAGAAATATGTATATTTTAAATGTTTGTGATATCAATTTGATTACAATGATCTGAATACAATTTAGAAACTGCCCAAGAAAACAAAATATTCATTTTATTTAACAGCTCTCTTCGCAGTATTGCATGTTGTTTCCTTGTTTTATGAGGGATTAAGCAGCTTACACCTGTTATTTTGAAGGTATTTAGAAGTCCAAACGTTTATATCTAGGTTTTAATACAAAATGTCTGATAAATGCTGAAGAATTTGACCCCCAAAATCCTTATTTCCTGAGAATTTTAAATCTGAAATGTAAGGAATACCTATAATAAATTAAATTAAAAGTCAACAGATTCAGAATATTTTTAAATATAAAAAGCTATATATTAAACTGTGTATTCGTGGCACATAATATTATGTAACCATTAACATTATGTGCCAGCATCTTTAAATGCTAATTATATAACAAATTTCTACTACTTTTGGCATATAATATTATACTTGGAATGTCAAGGTCATAAGAGACCCTGACAAATGGTGGTATGAAACATTTTCATAAAATCCTTTGAAAGACCTTAAATAAAGCAGAATTTTCCTTTGATAGTTATGCACTGTATTCAACTTTCAGCTTACATGCATTTACAAAAATTAAGTTTGAAATCTATATTGAATTGTAAACTGATGTCAAAGGTTTCCTAAAAAGCTGTATAAAAAAAAAACTGCAACTTTCCATTTCTTTTTAACTGAAGTGTATGAATCTGGAAAAATAAATCTGATTTTTCTCCTGGTTCTTCACTAAAGGATTTTGTAGCTTGCTTTTCTCAAGCAGCTGATAGTAGAGTTTTAGCTTATAGCAGAGTTTTGTGAAATGTCTACCATGCTTTCATAATTGTGACCTAAAAGCCATATACTATATCTCTGGGTGTCTCACTCCAGGATACCTGAAGAAGGTGTCACATCTGAAATGTTTTGTTTTATCTCTTCTCTTTGCATGGAATAAACCTATGACTTGTTCCCTCCAGGAATGTCATGTATGTGATAGACTGGTGTCTCCTCCAGGGTGTACCCTGGCTTATGCTCATTGCCCTGGCTCACAGTAACCTGTTACCAGACTAAGAATTTACTGAAAACGTTTCTACTGAATTGCAGCATTTATAGCTGCATCCGCATCCTCTGTTCACTTTGTGCAGTCTATCACAGTATTATTTAGGCATATGTTGCTGGACAATTAGTTTTCTCCCATATGATAAACTCTACATAATCACTGGGGAATAACAGGAATATAGGAACAGTACCAGGAAATCTGTTATATTTCATTCATGTGAATCCAATGAGGATTAAAGGATTAAACTCACTTTCAAGTCTCACTTAAAAAAAAAACCGTCATTCACATTCTGTTCCATAAACCTTTCTTACTACTCTGCTAAAGTTCAATTAAAAACTTAACAGAACCCAAAAAGTAATGCAATAATTCAAAATAAGCAGATTGTGTAGTTCAATTTTTCAATCCACACAAAGGAAAGAGCTAAATTTAAATTATTATAATAAAAAAATCTATTAATTTATATAAAATCTGCTACATAACTGTGAAATACTATTTAGTCATTCTCTTTTCCGATTAAAAAAAAATACTGGACATCATATCTTCAGACCATGTTTAGCTCTTACAGTATTTTCTAATTTCCTCAGTCCCAATGCAGGTTACAAACTACAAGGTTAGAACTAGAGAGTACCTGGAACCCCCTGACTGAAACTCAAATTTTGGAACCATACTACTACATACATACCACTTCAGATGGTTTCCCCCTTTGGCTTTTTAAAGAAGGAAAAAGTTTTTTTTAATAAGGTTAATTTTTAACCACTTTCAAAAGGTGCAAATCCTCCACATCTCGCCTGGAGACATCAATAATAATAAGACTGCCTCTTAAAATTGAGCCAGTTCTTTTTCAATTATTAAACTATAAAATATAATTTAAAAAGTAATGATGAGGATAATGTGCTTTTGGAGCTTGTACAACCTTGTGACCTCTCATCCACCCAATAAAACACAATGGCCATAAAAACACGGACATATGTCATCTTTCACACTCCCAACTCCTGGGAATGTGATGTTAAGGGTTGGGCTCCTGGGCTCTAACCACAGCTTTGTTCAAGGCTGCACCAGCCAGCTGTGGGCATCCTCTTCCATCTCCTCTTCACGTTCTTCCACGGGCTGATGTGTCTTCAACTGCGAACTCAAAAGGAAGTTGGGGGTATGAGTCAGGGAAAACTGTGATTTGAGCCCAATTTTCCTTTTCATTAAGTGGAACTGATCCCTGATGAAGTTATAAAAGTCATATTCATATTTCATACGGTGGTAAAGCACCTGCAGGGCTTCCAGTGATGGTGTTTGCTTTCTCACAGTGCCAGTCATATTCCCCAACTTTCTATAGCCTAAAGCAAAACAGCAAAAAATTGAATTAATAACATTGTTGTTAATAACAATAATTATAGAATATCACAGTATGGGATTCTTATAAGACTCGGCTTAAAAAGGGTGTTTCTACTCTTTTATTTATTTACTATTCTCTTTATATTTGTACCCTTTATATTTCTATCATATTTAGATTTTTCTAAAGAACTTAACATTAAAATAAATATGTGTCGATGCAGCTTTCTGGTCTTTGTCTGCAAATACAGAAATTATTGTCTAAGGAAAGAATTAGATATGTAGCATACACTACTAAACTGAACATACTGTGGAAAAAATCAGATTTGATTTAAAACATTTCTTAGACACCCTGGTGTGAGATTGACTAGGTTCACTGATTCTACATTTACAACAACTGAGTGATAATTGTTAATGTTACAATATTTGTGAAAGTGATGAGGAAGCGCCATACATAAAGCACATGTATTAAAGCATATTTCTCAGAATAGTTTTTTTCTGATGTTCATTATTTATTACTCATATTATGTCTCACATATTCCTCCCCAGTGCATATCTCAATTTATTTCAGGCTTTAAAGTATTACTTTAAAGTTTCCCATACTGGTCAGGATAAAGAATTATCCTAATATAGGATGGAACAGCACTTGTGGACTAGGAATAAAACAAACATGGCAAAAGATCTGCACCTGGACTTTTGTAGATGTTGAGCACATCACTGAAGAAATGAGGTAAGAGGCGCTCCAGTATAAGGAGTACATCTTCAAGCTCTTCCAGAATTCCCACCAGGAGGAAGTTTTCCACTGCATTCTGCTTTGCTCTCTCCAAGGCCCAAACACCTGGCTCCCTTCCAGAGGAAAAAAATAGTTATTTATTTGAGAGAATCATACAGATTATGTTTTTGCAAACTAATGTCATGGCATACACTTTCTCACTTGATGCAAGAAACACTGGGACATGTTTATTGACATGAAAGTGATAGTTCTCTTTCTTGGACGTGAAGGCAGCCATAGTGCACCAGAATGCTCACCACACATCAGCTTTAAGTGGGGAGGAGAGCAAAGTAATGAAGCCAATTCAGAGATGGGGATTATTAGGAGGCCATGAATGGTAAGGGCCAATGGGAAATTTAGCCAGGATGCCGGGGTTACACCCCAACTCTTTTCGAGAAACGCCTTGGGATTTTTAATGACCACAGAGAGTCAGGACCTCGGTTTTACATCTCAGCCGAAGGACAGTGCCTGTTTATAGTATAGTGTCCCCATCATTATGCTGGGGCATTAGGACCCACATGGACCACAGGGTGAGCGCCCCCTGCTGGCCCCACTAACACCTCTTCCAGCAGCAACCTTAGTTTTTCCCAGGAGGTCTCACATCCGGGTACTAACCAGGCTCACACCTGCTTAGCTTCAGTGGGTTGCCAGTTTAATTTTTAATAGCTGGATTCATTACGATGTTTTAAGATTTTAATTCTAGAATTATGGTCTTCTGGCCGGGAAACAGAATGCATTTATTGTAAAATTAAAGATTTTAATTTAGTTCTGTCACGCTGAAACCTTATTTCTGGGACTAGAGGTGTTCTTGGGTTTCTGGGGAAGGTGGAAGAGGCAGGGATGGCCAGGGTCAGCTGGGGATGAGTGGTGAGCAGAGAAATGCCAATCTGAGTGAAAGCTGCCGGAACTGAACCAATCAGGAGGAGGCAGGGATAGATGCCACTGGAAAGGTGGGAATCCTGGTTCCATATCTAGGACCTTGAGATTTTTTGGTTTTCAGGTTCTTCAGGGATTTAAGACTCACATTTCATGGAGCTGCCCTATTGGAGAGCACTCAGTGTCAGAGCTACTTCCCAGTGGGATTTAGGACTTAAATAAAGATTTTAAGTAAAACATAATTAACTGGATTTAGTCTTCCTGATTAGTATGGTGCTGGAGCACTGACAGGCAGCCAGACCTTGTTCCCATGGAATCCGGTGCACTAGGTGGGAACCACTTGTAACCACAAGATGTGAGCTGTTTTCAGCTTGGGTGTGATACTTCTACAGATGCAGCCATTCAAAACAAGCGGGCTATGCTGTGGTATAACACGGTGGGCGTGTCGCAGTATACCGCATCATACCGTATGCAAATTAGATTATGTTAATAGTATCCATAATCACCTTGTAAAACCGCCAGGAGGAGCTAATAAAGGTTAACCTCTCCTGTACAGCCTTTGAGCTGTCACCAGAAAACGTCGGTTTTGAATCCCGATCACTGCTGAGGGACAATCTTTATTCAATTAAGAATTTAAGTTGTATACTCTTAAGACTTTTAAATTTAAACAGTGTATTACTGCATGTTAATCATTAAACAGATTGTTCTGTTGGACAAAAGTACACAACCTACCACCTTTATCATAAATATTTTAATTATGCAGGAATATTTTATGCATCAAAGTCTTTACCGAAAATATTAATAATAGTATTAATAATGAATGACCTTGGACAAGCTGTAAGCTCAAAGTATTACCCTGGTCCACATTCTTTGTAACCGTCTTTGTAAACGAAAAGAGTTTATTTTTTCATTGACAAAAAGTCACCACAGCATTTAGTTGATCCGATCACGCATTCGTTTCCAATCATACAAAGTAATTCTTGAGAATCTCACCCTTCACCATGCCTTTCACATGCCCATAAATGATATTAATTTAGGAACATAAACATATTACTGTATGTAAACTGTACTGTATATGGCTGGTCTTGATAGTTTAAAGAACAAATACACACCAGAATTCCATTTCTCCCTAAACATTTTAAGCATCAAAATCTTACAGATGCAGCCATTCAAAGTGCCCGGTACACACACGTACCGGAGGTAATTAACTACAGCGTCGCGCATTGTGACGCACGATGACGCGCGGTACTGCGGTACATGATTGGTTGACCGACAGGGGCACTCGTGGTCCGTTGGTCTGTCGTAGAAAGATTTACAGTAAACGTCTTTACTGTGCCCGTTGTAGTATTGAATATTTATATGGAATTTTACCACTGAAGGGAAATCTTAGTA